AAAAACAAAGTATTCCATCTATTCATAAATACTTTTAATATTTTTATGGTAATTAAGTAAGTAAATTTATTCTTATAAATTATAACAAAATATTAATTAATTTTATTACGTAACCTTAAGTAATAAGAGAGGAGATGTTATATGATTTTGAAAAATTATAAAAATAATTATTAAATTTAATATAAATAAGGGTAAAATTGAAAAAAAAATTAATTACTCATTAATATTCTAAAAAAAAAGATATTTGCAGAGAAAACACAGGCTCTAAAACAATAGTTATTTATAGATAAAAAAGTAATTATTATTGTCACCTATATTATTATAATTTCACAACTTTGAATATGAATATTAATATTTAATGTAAGGTTATCTGTGTATGTAAAAAGATAAACTAGGTATATCATTATGGCATGAAGGGAAATAAAAGGGAAAACAAACTAAAGTATAACATTATCGCTTTCATACTGGTCCACGGTCAGTTAGCAGGGGTGTTTTAGTCTTTTTAGTCTTCAATTAACGCGGAAAAAAAACTAACTTTCGGACGGATGACTTTTCAATATAGGACGGAGTTAAAACCTGAGGGAACTAGGTTATAATATTTTGCGCAAAACTTGGGATTTAGTTAGATTAATTATGTAAAACCTGAGGGACTAGATAATAATTTTTTCCTTATTAGTCCACGTCAGCATAGAGAGGGTGTTTTAGTCTTTTAGTCTATTTACATTAAACGGAAAAAACAACTTTTCGGATGGAAGGACCCATTTTAATTGACGAAGTTAAACCTGAGAGTGACCTAAGCTAGATATTCTTTTAGACGAAGTTAAACCTGAGGGACTAGCTAGATATTTTGGCAAAACCTTGGATTAGTTGGTTAATTTTGTAAAACTTGAGGGATTAAATAATAAATTACCCTAAATTCTAAGATGACCTAATAATAAAAAGTTAACGTTTTAGTATGAAAATAGTTTGTCTACAATTGAATTGAAAAATTAAATTTAGTATGGAATATTTGGCCCTCACATCATTGTTCTACTTTATTAATTGCTTAAAGATAAAAAGAAAAAAATTCAAAATCCATGAAAAATGACTTAAACGGTGAGGCATACTTAAATTTAATGGATAATGTCTCCTAGATTAGATGTTCCATTTGTGAAAAAACACATGAGTCACACATCTTAAAATGAAAATAATCTTATAATCTTTATTTTTTTTTTTACATGCAAACGGGAATAATATTTAGGAAAGATCACGAAGACTGAGATAGATGAGTTGGGTGGGTTTTGCAAGTAAACAACTATCTTGACTTCGTCTGGAACGGCCACCATAGTGGTATTATAACCTCCGTCGACAACTAAATTCAAACCACTGACATACTTGCCGAGAATTCTAATTATTTTGGTGAATAATTTTTTAAATAGCTTTTATTATTTTGATTAGTCAAAATATAAACGCTATTTTTTATTGTTAGAATTTTATGAAAAATTAAACTATGTAACGTTTAGCTTGTCATAAAAAGCTAATTAAATAACTAACAGTTAAATATTACTCAAACAGCTAATAGTTAAATACTACTTAAATATTTAACATCTATCAAAATAATTAATTTTACCAAACTTAGTAATTTTTAGTTGTTTTATTAGCTGTTAACTTTTAGTTGTTTACACAGCGGTTTAAATTATAACTGTTTAGTAAAACAGCTATTTAATTAGTTATTTAATTTAAAATATCAGAAAAAGACATTAACTAATTAATTAGCTAAATTCATCAGAAAAAACAATAGATATAATTATTAAAAAAATTTAATTAATCTCTATGTTACTGAATAATACAATTAATAAAAATAAATCAAAACAATGAACGTTATCTTTCAGCAATTTTCAAAGATGTTGCGTAACAAGGCTTTAAACTGGTTGCTACTAAAAAACAACTTGTCTCTTGCCACATCATTAACCTCGATAACCACATTTTTCAGATTCGCTGTCACACTCAAAATCCCCTCCACCAATTTCAGTTTGAACCAAAACACTAATACCATATTAAAAGCGATTGTCAAATAAGATTTATGGCTCTTTTAGATGGATATGAATTTATAAATATTACCTCTTCGTAATGGGAGCTAGTGAAGAAAGTGAAAGGGATATACTGTTAACCATGCAAATATAAAATATGGTTTTGGTGTTATTTCTTTGAACAATATTTTTAGGTATTTAATTGAAAATTTGCATTAAATGAATACATATTTTATAATAGTGGTGTTAGTACATTTTTTATGTATCTAATTGGACTAAGTGGAGAATGATTGTTTTATACTGACTATTAAAACATATTGTTTAGGATATTAGAAACAAGATTTATGTTCTTAATCTTGATTTAATTAATATTTCACAAATATATGTTGCTTTATGCTTTAGTTTATTAAAGAGTGAGTTTCATTTATCGGGACAATAATTCTCGGTGAATTGGGTAAAGATAATTTATATTTACAAAATATTAATTAATGTATCGGGACAATAATTCTCGGTGAATTGGGTAAAGATAATTTATATTTACAAAATATTAATTAATGATAAAATCCATATCTCAGTTTAGAGAATAATGATGCACTTTAAGTAAATTTATACGGTTTCATTGTGTAAACCCTACAGATAGATTTTTAATCTGACACATAAAATAAGTTAAGTGCAATTTTAAAGATTAAAATTGTTATTTAAATAAATTGTCAGTAATTTATCTTATTTGACAAGCATTTGTAATCTTTACATGGGGAACATAAATTATTATGTTATGGAAAATTAAATTAATAACGAGTTCATTTGTGAATTTTTAGTGGTATAATTTATGATTAACTATAATAAGAATATACTGGTCCTGTATGGATTATTATTATTATTTATAGCCATATTAATTTATTCTTGCGGTCCCTTCTTTGCCTTAATTATTTTGGACCATACGTGGGTTATATATTTTAAAAAATTAATAGACTAATTTTTTTATTTAAAAAATGGATAATCTGTTTTATTTAAAATATCAACCGCATGGGTAACAAAATGATTGATCTTTATTTGCTTCCCATGCGAATAAGAGAGGTTATTGGTTTTTTGAATACGCGTTATAGATAGCAGTGTATTCAAAGAAAAAAAAAGCGATAGTCTCTCAAGAAACAGGCACAGACATATTGTTTTTCTGCCCACTCAAAAAAATAGAATTCATAAAATCAATTAAAATCACACGGTAAAAGGCTGTAAGGTAATTTGAAGATATCTGGAAAGAACACCGATGAACGAATTTACGTTACAATAGATTAATTCTTATGTGAATTATGTGTGGTTTGCTTTTGTACTTATTTCAATATTAAGTAGTTTCTGTTGTATATTTCCGGACTCCCATCAGAAAGGCCTTTCGCTTTTTTAGACTGTGGTGCTAAAATATTTTAAATGGAACAGAATGTATATCAAGAAAAAGAGTGAGTTTTCTTCGTCCACCATAATTCTATAATTACAAGTTCTACCTATAGGATTTAGGCCACGTTGTCGTGGTTGAAGTTTCCCTCAATCCGCTTCCATGTGCTACAAACTAATTTTTGCGCTTATGATTTCAGATATTGATTTACTTAGTACCATGTATTTATGAACTAAATTAATAGAAAATAAATTTTTATTAAAATAAAAGTATTTTTTACCATTTACTGTAAAACAAAAAAAAAAAAGGATAAAATGGCAGTACCACGTCCAGGATTTGGAAAGACGACCAATTAGGAATGAAAACAGAGCCCAATCATCAATATAATTGGTCCATGATTCTAAAGTCCAACAACAGCTAGCCCAGATCTATCGAGAGAGTTGTTTCAATTTGAATGCTAACTATTAACTGAAGAATTTCAGCTGTTGGACCAATAAATAGCAATTGCCACCCACACCCATTGAATCATGGACCATTTTTTGAAATCAGTTATGCATACAAACTGGATATTAAGGTACTATCATTAAACATCCAATCATGAGTAGTTTGATTGATTTTTTCACTGACGTGATAAGTGATAGATCTTGAGTTTAAATTCTATTGATTATATGAATTTTCACCAAACTGTATAGTCCATCGTGTTATTTTAGATTCTCCTAACTAACTCGCAACTTGTACACCCGTTTTTCCCCTTGAAAATAGTCAAACTATTGGCAAAAAAAAACTGAAAATCCAACCAAACGATTATTTTGAATGATTTTTATTTTTATTTTTTAAAAAAATAATAGATTTAGACTTTAATTGCTTACTGAAAATAACTTAATTTTTGAAAATTGTTTTCTAAAGAAAACATTATTCTTGAAGAACATATTCCAAAGAACTTATTTTTTATTATTTAAAAAATAATTTTTTAACTTATTGACGTTCATCTAAGATTTTCAGTAGCGGCTCGGTCATTAATCTAGTGAAAATAGAGGACCAATTGTTAAAATGTGAATCGAGGTCAAACTGATATTTAATTAAATGTCTATGACAAATTATAATTAATTTAAAGTTACTAACGTTGTATTAAAAAAAAAATCATATAGTTGTTAGTGATAATTGCTTTCAAGCAAAGAACTAAAATGTTTTTATCAGGAGATTTCAATCCTTATTAATCAAATCTGAGGATTAAAAAAAAAAAAAAAAAAAAAAAAAAAAAAAAAAAAAAAAAAAAAGAAAGAAAAGAAGTTCTACATTATTTACATAATCTTTTTAAACTTGTAAAATTCCCGAATTATCTCGGCATAAATATCACTTAAAAAATATTAATATTTAATATGAATAGTTTGCCGCTAATTAAACTGAAATATTAAATTTAGGCTCTTTCTGAAAAATAACTTATTTAAAAAATATTTATATATATATATTTTTTTTCCTAATGTTTTAGTATTCAAGAAAATTAGTCCATCGGAATATATGTTCTAGTCAAAGCGAAAAATAATCCAAAATAAACCACTATAAAAAAATGACTTAGTCCTCTTTATAAAAAGAGAAAAAAATTTATGAAAATTAACTAATTTATTATAATTTTATAATTACATAATCAAGTGGATGGTGTTATGCTATATATAACACAGACATCTGAGTTGGGCGGGCTCTCAAGAAAAGAATTCTTTAACTTTCTCTCGAATAGCCACGTTAGTGGTACTATAACCTCCATCAACAACTAAATTCAAACCACTAACATACTTTGACTCATCACTACCCAAAAACAATGCTGCCTCAGCCACATCATTAGCCTCCAAAACAATATCCTTTAGGTTCGCCGCCGCACTCATAATCTCCTCCACCTTTTTCTTGTCAATGCCTCCGAACGCTTCCCTTAATAAAGGCGTCGCCACCCCATAAGGCGAAATACAATTAACCCTAATCCCATATTGCCCTAATTCCACACATAAATTCTTGGTAAGCCCTACTAATGCATGTTTTGACACTGCATATAAATGAGGAACAATTCCATGAGTGACTGACACAACACTTGAAGTGAAAATAATGCTTCCTTTTCTTTCTGGAATCATTGCACTTGCAGCGTGTTTGGCTACCAAGAAAGCTCCATACACATTCACATCAAAAACTTTCTTGTAATTTTCATACATCACTTCCAAAATGCTTGGACTTTCATCTCCAGATGTCCCGGCATTACTAAACACTATATCAAGCTTACCATACTTTGAAACTGTTGCTTTTATAGCGTTTTCTACATCAGTTTCGTTTGTCACGTTACAATGGACATAATCAGAGCCAATTTCATTGCATACAGAATGGCCTAAGTCGTCTTGGATGTCTGCGATTACAACTTTGGCGCCATGTTTAGCAAAGAGTCTTGCAGAGCTCTCGCCGATTCCACTTGCTGCCCCGGTGATCAAGACTACTTTGCCATCTAATCTGCCAAAAAAAGTTACAAAATTCTTTTATTAAAATGGTAATTTTTCTCAGTGTCAAACAAATTTTTAATATGTGCATTAATTTGTACGATAATTTCTCCTGAAGTGCCAGAATGAGAAACCTATATATAGACTGTGTGTATACGTATATATACATTCTTTTGGTGAAGTGCAAGAATGAATATTAGAAACTAGGAGGAGTTGTTATTACCTCTTGGCAATGGGAGCTAGTGAGCCGTTCATTTTTGTAATTAATGTCTGGTGATAGAGGTTTGATATGAGAGATTTTTTTTTTTTTTTTTAAAGATTTTTTTTTTTTTTTTTTTTAATTTGAATGTTATTAATCAAGAATGGTGTGGGGCCAGCATTTTATAATGGAGAATTTCAGCTTGAGATTTTTTTTTTTTTTTTTAATTTGAATGTTAATTAATCAAGAATGGTGTGGCAAGCATTTTATAATGGAAGAATTTCAGCTTTTTTGGACCAATAAATAGCAACTGCCACCCATATCCTTTGAATTTTTGAAATTAGCTCAGCATAAAAATTTGACACTAATGCACTATGTTTCGATTCTTCTCTATTCCTGACCCAAATCAACTGGCAACTTGGTACGATCTGTAGCTGTGATTTTGTCCAACAGCTATTGGTTAAAGAAAGATACTATTATAAAATTAGGGAAACACTTACTTACATCACCCTTATTTGAATATAAATAATATTTTGGTTCAAACGAATGCATTTTTAACTATATATTAGGAGAAAAAATAAAATAGTAATATTTTTTTAAAAAATCTTCTTTTGATCGGCTTGGTATATAGAATCACTCATTCATCAGGAGTAAATAAATTTATCCTATAAATTAATTTTTTTTCTTTAAAAGAACTAGATTTAGGTTCTGATTGTAATTGTTTATAGAAAATAACTCATCTTCCAAAAATATTTTTGAAATAAAAAATTTTTAGAAAATATTTTTCAAACAATTCCTTTTCCATTGTTTAATTACAATATTGAAAATTAATTTAAAATTTATTATAATTTATAATTTATAAGAATCAAATATTTAAAATTATAGAAATTTCATGTTTTAAAAATATATTATTAAATATATGAAATTATCCATAAACATAAACTGTAGTAATTATCGGTGCCTGCTATTAGTAGGTTGTAAGTATGAATGATGATTCATAACTATCGATAGTGATTGACAATAGTAACGATAGGCAACCGGTGCCACATCATATATCGTGGGTCAATTGCTCAATTGTTTTCAAAAAATATTTATAAAATAGGATTAAATTGATAAAAAATTAAGAAAAGGTATATATTGTGAAAATTTTTGGATTTTTTAATCTAATTCACCCACTAAAAAATATTTCTAGCTCCAGTCAATAAATTAATCAATAATTGTTTACAAAGTTATAATAAATTTATCAACATCTAAAAAGATTTAACCCAAACTCTCATCCAGAGTTTGATTGTTTCCCAAATATCAAATTCGAATGTTTCTTCGGGAAACTTATCTTTTAGATACAAACGCATTAGTCTAATTTACTTTAATTTTAATATTTTTCTGTATGATTTTAATCACATCCAAGCATTTATTTGCAATTTTCTGAACTCTCTTCTTTTTTATGCATAAAATACGGCTCAATATATCAAAATTGCATTTATTTGCAATTTCACTCTATTTGGACATTTCTATCAACCAATTTTATTCCAACTTCGATATTTTGTAGCAATAATACCCTTTATTGCAATTAATTATAAAATCAACGATAGTAATAACATATTTTTAAATGTCCTTTCAATATATGTGAAATTATAATCGCATACATTTGGTGGAGACATTTATAAATTTAAAAATATGATATTTGAGACATGTATAATTAAAATAATTAAAAAATTATTTCTCTATCTTTTATTAAATGAATAAGAATTTGACTATATTATCAATAAAAATTATTATAATTGGAATTTTTTCATCCTTAAAATATAAATAATATAAAACAAAATACGTAACTTAAATATTACATTTTATTGATTTCGTTTTCATGGCAAGTTTTGGATTTTTTTTTTTTATAAGTAATATGTTATAAAATCATTAATTAGCACAATTATTTCAAAAATTGAAAATTTTAATCTTTGCAATATTATTTTTTTTAGATTAATAAGTTTGTAACCTTTATTTTTTAAATTTTTTATGAGAGGCATACGATGGTTTAAAAATAATGCAAATATTTTTTTATTTACAATTATATAGTTAATTGTAATCGAGGATGCTATCATAAAAGGTCGATTTGAAGTAAATTGATAGAAAAATAAAAAATAGGATAAAATTGTAAAACTCTAGAAAGTTAATGGTATTTTAATAAATTAATTTGGCAAAAAAAAACAGGGTGAATGGATAAGGAGGTGAATGCATGTCAATGAAAAGGGCCGGGTGGGTGGTTAGGAACAGACATGAAGAATATGTTTCTAATTCTATGGTATGACGGTGAGATTAATTAGATGTTGGCTTTTTTATGAAAGGACGGTGTCCTGCCATTGATTCGTAGCCAAATCTTTTGGATTTATATATTAAAAATTTTAAATAGTTAATCAAGTGTGGTTTGATTAATTTATAAACAGAAGCACGTCTCAAACTCATATCTATCGGATATCCTGATAAACAAAAAAATATTTTATTTCATGCTCCATTCAAATTTTGGTTGTGAAAACTATATATTTTTATCGGTAATATCGAGAGAAATAATTTATATCTTTTTCTAAAAACCATAAAGAATTGTTATCAACTTTTGTTGATTCATTTATTTTTGTTATCAATTTGTTTTAGTAATTAGGACTATACATTTTTTCAGCAATTACCTCTTAAATATTAATTAATAATAGGAAAGTAGAGAAGTTTCTCATAATAGAGTCAGTTCTTGCCATTTTGATACACTATTAAGTTATACATAGATGATTATTATTTATTCCCCAGGTTTGCACCTAGTTATTACTTCACTCTCCTTTTTAATAAATTACTCCCTCCGTACCATATATATAGGCTCACTCTCTTTTTTTCTCTGTCCCAAAATATAATCCTATTTTCTTTTTTTAAAACATCATTTATTATCTAATTTCTTAACATACTCCTATTTAATATACATTCACATTCCCAATTGATGTCATTTAATATTATAAAGGGATATTTTGAAAAAAAGCTAAACAAAAGATATAATTAGTGTTTTTTAATCAATGTGAAAGTCAAACTAGGCCTATATATATATGAGACAGAGGTAGTAGTTTTTTTTATGACAAGCATTGTATTTTGCTAATATTCGTTGTTTGTATTCGTTATTTTTTTTTATAATATTAATATTTGTTATAATTTTGCTTTTATATTATCCACATTTTATGATGTTATTAGGGTAAAATTACTATACTAATTTTAAAAATTATGTATTAATGCAGTTTTTACCACTAGATTTAAAGTAGTTAAATATAAACCATTAGATTCAAAATGGCTGTAATAACTTATTACATATATAATAAGTTATTAAAAATAGAATATTTATTTTTTATTATTAAATATAAATGTTACTGCTATTTAATTGGGTAAATAAAAAAATTACTCTTTTCTTTTCAACACAATTATAAAAGTAAAATTTTTAAAGTAAAATAATTATGTAATATATCCATTTTATTTACCCAAAATAAAATTTTAAAATGTTAATAAATAATTATAAATTTTTATTTATGTTATTATTAAACATTTATCATGTATTTATGCAATTGAAATTATATATATACAGATGAAATCCCATTGTCTTCTAAATAAAATAGTTTTAATTACTAAAATTAAATTATATAACTTAAATATTTGACTTATAAAATCTCTCACTTTTGTAAAATCTAATTATATAAATTTTTTGAAAAGGAATCTAATTATATAAATTGATCCATACATATCTTTTGACTTATAATTAACTATAGTTTTACCTTAAATTTATTTATATTTTTTTTAAATAACACATATTATATATTATATCATAATTAATACAAAATTTTAAATTTTTTTTAAATTTTAATAAGGTATTATAATCATTTGTAATTTTTTATAAAAGTAATTAACTAAAATTATTATTTGTTATGCTTAAAAGTATTTTCTAGAATTATATATTTACATTAATACCAAATTTTGACATTAAAGTAAAGTCTGAGTACATATAAAGAAATATGATTTTACAAATTGAATTCTATAGATTTGAACGTAATCAAGCATGCAAATTTTATTCAGGAAAAATTCAGGTATGATCCCTGTGATTTTTGAAATACAATTAGTCTGTTTCTATCTGTTTTAAAATATATTAATTTGTCCTTATATTTTACTTCCGTTACATTATTAAGTCTCTCTGTTCAATTTTTGTGTATTTTCTGTTAAGTCAACAAGAAAACATAGAGGCCAAAGAAGAGATACTAAAATATTACATCAGAAAAATTACAGTGTAGTCCCTATAGTTTAAAAAATATAACTATTCTATCCCTCTGTTTTTTAAAAATAAAATGGGTATTTTTATAATTTCATAAAATACTTAACAAAAAAGATATAAAAAATGGATGAAATGACCTTATAGTTTGACCGAAGTAAACCATGAGGACATTTTAATCTATTTTTTAAAAAACAATGACGAAGTAGTTATATTTCGCAAATCACGAAGATTATACTGTAATTTTTCCTTTTATTTATAAATAAATTCTATTTATGAGATGCTTTTGCTCAAACAACATTTATTAAAGTGGATGCAACTAGCCGTTTTACAGTTGGAAATAATTATGTAATGGTTGTTACATTACATTACATTTATGGAAATTTCTATTTTTCCATGGACAATTAGACGTACACCATCAGTGTCAGGATAAAGCTTCTACAGTGAGAGAATTGTCAAAGCCATGCCCATCACACCATATCTGCAATTTTAGTTTATTTTTCTACTTATTTTTAGGTTATTTATATTTTTAGTGTCTAAATTTTTAATTTTTACTAGTTTGGTGTCTGAATTAATAATTTGTATACAATTACATGACTCAAAATCAGAATTTTCCACTGAAAAATCGAAGTCAAGTACTTCATTCCCTTGGTTTACTTTATTTATTTTTTCAGATTATTATCTTTCTTAATTTTTTTTCTCTAACAAAATTAGGACTTTTTGTGACAACATATTGGAGATGTACTGCTGTGACATTTTATCCTTTTTATTATTTTTAATCTTTTTGTTACACTTAATAAACATTAAGGTTTTTATTTATTGCATTACAAATTAAATCTTTTTATATCT